GTATGGTTGGTATTACTTCTAGTATCCACAAATCCCATAATCTGAAAATTTTATTAGAAATATGCATATGTTTGTATGTATTTTCGCGTAAAATTTTTATTTTTTTCTATTTGCAAAGATACACAGAAACTTCTGATAGCGTATTAAAATAACAGGTCAGAAGTATTCAAATCATGCATACTCAGGTGAGCATTCACTTCTGAAATGACTGTGCCATGTACTAAAATTTACTTCATACATCCTTTCCACCATCAAAATAGTATCCTTATTTTTGTTTATACAAAAAGGTTGGTTTTCTTCTTGTTAAAACGTTTCGCTTGTAATTTTGTGTTTGAAAAATCCTGCCAATTAAAAGTAGTTCAAAAATGTAACACAATATATTTCTAAGAGAGAATTAAAGATTTATTTGTCCTTTCCTTTGATGTGGTTTTTATAGGACATACGAAGGATGTTAAAAAATTTTTATTGAAATGAATGCAATTCGAAGTTAAATATATTCTACTACTTCAACTATTTATTTTGAATTCGAATTACTGAGAACTGTGAGTAATGCTGTGACCTACTTTTTATTTATCTGTTATTTTATTCCTTTGAGTTACAATTCGAACATAGGACTTCAAACCTGAACTTTAAAAGTTTTATTAGCAGTGATGTTTATTTCTTACGGGGTGAAGTTGCTAACCTCACACTCTACCTCCCCTCTTTATCAGGCTTACTACTGACTTACTGAGATTTTACAATGCATTGGCTGAGGATCGAACTCCTCACCACTTGCGTAGTTGGCGGGTTTTATATCACGGAACCACCAGTAAACTGTAAGAATCCCCCCTTCACCTAAGGATGACAACCGAAAACCTGTGATTTCATGTGCTTCTATACAAGAAAGAAATACAATACTGTTTTCTGAATGAGTAATATCAATATTAGACCACATGGGTATAGCCTTGTCACACAAATCTTGCCTACTGACAGGTCTGGAGCAAAGTTCTGATTTCTTTTGGTCAGTTTAGTGCATATTTAGCGATTGCTCTCATAAGAAAACATTTGAATGAAGCTGATAAAACTACTATCAAGAAATAATGGTTATAGGTGAAACCAGTTCATTAGTTTCCTAGTGTAAAGCTCTACTTCTGGCTGATAGTTTAACTATTCCTTATATTATGTCACACATGAGAAAAAATCACAGATTTGAAAAGGTATAGTATTTCACAATGCATCAGTGGAATCGTTGAAAACCTGAATCATTGATAAGACCTTTACTGAATTCAGCCAAACTCAGATAGAAATTCCATCTTACTTGAAATTTGAACTAAGTAATTCATTTGGCGTTAAAAATTCTCATGTGGTATGTTTGCACAATACTTAGTTAGAAAAGTGGATTCTTTACTTATCATCTTATCAAAGCTGCACACTTATTTAGGTTTTATATGTATCACGAGAAATAGCAACTTGTTAAAAGTAAAAAATAATCTTAAGTAAGCCAGAAAGTGTGCAGATAATTAATTAAGTGTTGAAAAGCTTTTTGGAGATAATGACTTAGGAAAAAAGAGGACAAGGAAGAGAAAGTGGGTCACGAAATAAGAATTATGTAGAACTTAAAATTCAACTAGTCATGAAAAGAAAATAAAGATTGCATCCATGTTAGTAAAAGAAGCTGAAAAACACTTCTGAACAAAAAGTTTTTTTTCCCTAAGTACGATAAAAGCTTAGGTTGCATGAAGAAAAAATCCTTTTCATTGGCTTGATCTTAATTTGCATATCAGGCTGTCCTTCACCTTTACTGAACAAAAGCACGTGGGGAGTTAATGACGATTAGAAATGTGGCAAAGAACATCAATTTTTTCATTAGTCCACAAGAAGTCTTTATTGCATTTAAATACACTTTAATCCTCCACATATTTCGTTCTCTCCTCTCTCTCTTTTTGTCAGAGTTTTCATACTGACCACGTTTACTAACGACCAAAAAGGTCATGTTAGGGATTGGATACAAATGAAAGAAAATTTTGGACACATTTTCTCTGGTGTTTGCACTCCATGATATAGTTCATTGACGAAGTGCATCATAACTTTGTAATTAAAGAACGAACTTGAGTTCCACCAATAATTTTGAGAAGGGAGCTCAAAGTCGATAATGTTCCGTTGACGAATCAGTTCTGTGTGACGATTCTCCTCATAGTTTTTCCCAAACTATTTAACTTTTGGATGTATTCCGCATGATTTCCTGAGGAAACAATGCAATATGTATCATTTACCACTTAATTTCCCTATCATTCAACTTATTCCAATCATTTCAATGCAAATTACTTGGTAAAAATTTTAAAAATCCTCTTTAGCGTACAAGAAAAAAGCAACTAGCTGTTTTTCAGTTTGTCTTCCATTTCTTTTTTTATGAAATCGTAAGGCTGATTAGATTCTCCCTACTAACTGCTTACTACTGACACTTTCATAGCGTATTCTTTTGTTTTTTCTGTCTTTTTTCGCATCTGTCAAATAGAATTTCGATTATTATTATTTTTATTATCATCATATTTCGTTTTTAAAAGATTTTTAGTCTTTCTCTTTTCTCCTCTTCACATTTTTCCTTGATTTTTAAAAGTCTGTTTCCACAATCCGAAGCAGCCTTATTCTTACCTCTTTCGAATACTTTTGTATTTATGACGTAGAGTTATCCTTTTAATCAATACAAACTCCAATTTGTTGGCATAAAGTTTAAACATCCTCATATATATACATATATATGCATATATATATATATATATTCTTTAACTTTATTCAAAGTTAAGCAGCTGTTGAAGAAAAGAAGAAAAAACTTTAAAAGATCCATGTATTGCATCTCTATACATCGATTCAAGTTACAAGCTTCGTTTGGAATAATAATCAGGGGTCGTTCATTACAACGAAACTTAAAATATTTATCAATGGTTTACTAGGATCATTGTGAAAGTTTACTTTTTTAAGTAGAATGAAATGTAGAATAGCCTGATAATCAAACCGTGAATATAAATTCTAAAATTGACAATTTTGACTACCAGCTGATTTCAATTAGAAAACTACTGAAAATCAAGGAGTGGTGGACAACTATCTCGCCCTTATTTGGGACTGCTTAGCGGTACCCGTCCATCACCTCAGCAGGGGTTGAACTCACGACCTTTATTTTATAAAGCGAGCTGGTTGGCAGTTTAGCCACTGGGACAGGCCCCGATATCCCTTCAATTCCAACTGTTTTCATTTTGGCAATGTACAGTGTAACCGCCAGTCAATGTCACTGATGAGTGTTTGTCCACATATCCAACTTAGTGCACTCCACCAGTCATGACTTCCCATTAAAACTCAACATAACTTCATCTTGTATTCAGTCACTTGTGAGTGGTAGATTATTTTCAAGTGCATTCTGTCTCAATAGGTGAACGGTCAACGAGCTTGCATTGTAACCTGTATCCGATCCCTGGTAGGGTGATGGTTGCACACTCCAAAAGATTCACAGACACTAACGTGAGAGATTTCTACTACTCTGAAATCAATTCCTGATCAAACCTGAAATCCATCAGATCAATACCTCGAAATTTGAAATTTACACCTCTTTAACAGCAAAGGGAATAAGTAATTACATCGTATATCGAGTCGCTATTAATTTTGCGATCCTGCAGATATATTTTCCATCTAAGATCAAGTCAAATAGCCTTCAGTTGATTGTTAAAAACCGTATACACTGAATTAATTGGAATTTTTTGACTGTCGGTTTTCAGTTACTTCTTTTACTTCAGTTGATAATTATGACTAAAATTCTATAGGCACCTGTTTTACATAGATTCTGAAGATTCCAACGTATGGAAGAGAAATATATTTGGCAATGTAGATGTTTTCCAACACTCGCGTACGCAGTTATATATATATATATATATATATATATATATAAGAAAACCAGTATTCTGATATCAGTTATTTTGAATTACTTTTGGCACGCTTGAGATATCTGATGTTTATTGTTTTATCACTGTGTTGTTGTTGTTCTTGAAGATAATGAATACTGTAACTTATAAGGTGGATAAAAAGTTACGCCGAACTAAATAATAAAACGAATCACGTAAGGGGAACCATTCATATGTGCACCATACAAAGCTTATGCAACGTTTTGAATTCTTTATGAGTTGTTCATTTCATATTAGGTTACGAACCATCAAACGTCGGGGTGCACAGCTGTTTTCTCCCACTTTGAGACTCTTCATAGTTCTCAACAATTAATTTGCTGGCGATAGAACTCATGACCTTGTGGTTACGATGTAAACCTGTCAACCATTCAGCTGGCGCATAATTTCTAACTTCTGCCAAGCAGTGACTAAAACACCTGATGCTTTCTAAAAAGACATTTGAATATTGGTTATAACACAAGTCCTTGTGTTGCAAAAAATTCACCTAAGCTACGACGTCCGTAACGTCACTATTATCATTTAGTTTACTACAGATTACTGGAAGAACCGTCAGTCAGCGCATGATCTTTTCATCTTTTTGATGCAATATTACTACTTTATAAGCTTTAGAAATAAAGAGATTAAATGAATTCGCATGCATCAGCTGCTGACTCATAGTTTTTACAAAATATTATGTGCAGCCACTGACGTCTCGCATATTTTGTGATCTATTCAAAGCATTTTCTCGGGAGCCAATCCACATTACGGATTATATATTCATATTTATCCTTAATCAATGAATAATTCTGATTGGCTGTTTATGCAAACTATATAATAACGTGGACGTGCGTTTTTCGCTTAATAAGTGTCTATTGATTGGATGCCCATCTTGTATTACCTTATAATACCGTGCTACAAGCGCATAGTGTGAAGATATAATAATCGTTACTTTTTTTATCTGTATTATGATAAGTGTAAATATTGGAAATTACTTTATTTTGAATAAACCAACAAAACAATTTTGACATTTTGTCATTTCAAAACGTACAAAATTGGAAAATAAATTTTACCATTGGAAATTTCTGCCTTAAAATGTCTGTAAAGGAACAAAGTAATGAAACTGAAAACTATGTGGATACTTCTATGGCTCCGAGGAAGAATCGGTATGTCTTTAATCTCATAATGAAATTTGAAATTACGTGAAATCGCTTGTCTTGTTTTTTCTCATAATCACTTTTCATGACGGACTGTCATTCCTTTGTAATTATCCGCTAAATTCAGCACTTGAAATCCCTTCCAGGACGTTAACAGCAACACTCCAAATAGCATGAATGCTGTCGGACAATATAGTTCACGCTTCAGTAGCTTTATTGATTACTGAGACTAAATTTTAAGCGAAAAATGATACAGTCAATGTGGTAATAAAAATTTATATATTTAAATAAGTGATATCCTTCATGGTCATTTCAGTTCGCTGCATACCTGTTTTACGTGATTTTTGTTGATCGTTGTATGCATATGCTTGTGACTACTGGAGTGAACAGTTGCATAAAACAAGAATTGAAAATTACCCTGTTATTTTTCGGACAAATTCACTATACTTAAGTATATTTTTTCTGCTTTAGTGTTAACCTAACATACTTGTAAGAGACATGTCGCTAAGATATGTTTCCTGATGTTTCTGAGTACCATTTACTTTGTCCGATAAACAGAATCACTTATTCTGTGTAAGCTGAGTAAAGTGTAATGTTGAACAGTTGACGGCAGTTTACATTATAGTCCAGAATAAAGACCATATAACACTGTATGCAGTCGGCCATAACCTTTATGCTATCATACAAATTATCCATGGTGAAAATATTCCCATACTTAAGGGTGTCACGTTATACAGTTTTAAAATTCGGTTAGTTTAACTTTGTTTATTTAGCAAGCGTCCCATAAATAGATAATTACTTAAGATTTTCATACCGTATGATATTCTGTTGATAAATGGCTTTAAACAAGTGAATCAGCAGATTACTTGAGTTTCCGAAGTGAAGACGAAGACGATATTACGAAATGATTAAATGTCACTTCGTTAGGCCGCCTAAGGTTAAACTTTGTAATGACACTAGAAGTTATTAAGAAGCATTAAAAGATTTTTCAAACCATGAAAGTGGATTTTCGAAGTTTTATTATGATCATACATTTGCAGTTTCTTGCAGATAAAAAGAAAACCGTAAACTGGAAAACTGCATTTCTACGCTTTGATAAGTGGACTACTTGAAAAGTGTTGTTTTCATTTACCAGTTGTTTTAATTTACCCTCTTCTTTCGACTGTGATGTGTTCTGAATTTTTATACCACACACTCGATCTTGCTTTTAGTGAACTTTATTAATTTTTTTCATTCCTTATGTCCCGAGTGAAACATACGGATTCAGGCTATGAAGTATCAGTAGTGGCGATGTTTTTTTTACGAGATAGAGTTGCTGGTATTAGGTCAGCTTACTAATGACTAGGCAAGGATTACAAGTTGTTGAGTCGAGAATCGAACCTGAACCTACTGTGTAGCTTGCCATCATTCTATCAATGAACCACCGACCCACTAGGTACACCAATAGGGAAGTGTTAGTCTTATGGATCAACTGTGAGTCATGAAGTATTTTGGAATGTACATTAGTGTTATTAACTTGAAAAAGCGGTCCACAAACGCTGCTCATGATTATTAGAAACACTAACTTGCTCTTTTAAAATATTAATTGGACACTATATATTTCCACTGACTGTTACTTTTCGATATTTAAAGTATTAACATACTTTCATTCCTCACCAACAATACGTTCTACTTTGTGTATACTTTTTGAATAAATGAAACCTATGCAACACTAATTACCATGAAACACGTAGTTCTACTTCACTGACTAGAATTCCAAATACTTCATAATTAAGTGTGGGTTTTAAATGTTATCATCACAGAGCAGGTCAGTTGTTCATTATCCATTCCTTTAAAAAATCTGGTTATTTTTTTTAATAGAGTCATTTTTATCAAATGAGAAAGGGTGCATTAAATGCGTTGTATTTTTAATTTTTTATCCTAATATTTATTTATTTTTCGCATAAATTTTCTAAAGCGGTAAAGTCGAGGGCTTTCTTCAAAATCCCAAATGTTAATAATGTTTGCCTTCCAATAACGACTTGAAAATCTTTTGAATGCCTAAATTACCAAAGTACAGATAGTTGAAGAAATTAATAATTTTTCAGAAGCTGCAACCAATTTCTGTTGAATGTTCTCAAAACAGATTTTTATTATTGGACGCATGTTTTCGATTGAACTGAGATATACCTTCGTCACTACTAATTTAAGTAACATATAATTTTTCAACGGTACGAAAAAACTTAACCATGTGGTTATTAATAATATGTTCTTAATTTTTGGCTAATTTTATACACAGATTATAGTTTTTTGATGAAAAAGCATGGCTTACTTATCATAACTCTGAATCTGATAAACACTTCAATTCTGTGTTTCCTAATGCAGACAGAAGAAAAAGTTTTGAATTCATCATATTAATGTGTGTTTTTGTTTAGTAACCAGACAGTTCAGTAATTATCACACTAGTATTAATAACAAGTTACATTTCTGCAGTTTTTATAGTTAATGAGTTGTAGGAGCAACTGAAAAAATTTTATCAACGACTTTCATCAGCTGTTCGATAATGAATTTATAGAACTTGGTTAACGTATTACAAATGCCACCAATCACTGTGAAGGGCTGCTCTCTATGACCCATAATTATATATGCGTGACTGCTGAACTTCAGAGAGTATAACCACATCGTTAATTCAGCAGACAAACAAACCACACTCAGTTAATAGCCACAATAATTTGAAGTAGTCGTGAAGTTCCATCTGAAGAATTTACTTCTGCTTGCGTTTCAAGAATGAAACATATAAGGTATTAAATCTAATGATTTTAATCATAGTCCGATGTTAGAAATGTCTTTCAAATGTTGAGTAGATCTTTAGCACTAGATCATAAAGATATGCCACTCCTGATATCTTCAAAAACATTCAGATGAGGACACATAAACAGATGAAGACTGAAAGTATGAGCATCTCATTTAATTCCAAATCAATCTCATCTATCGAAAGAGGAAGGTTAAAATATACAGATTATTCTCTTGGAAACTAAAATATTTCACAATCACCTGTCATATATTCTTCAGATGGGTGAAACAGTAATGTGTATGAAGTCAATAAGCAGAAGCACCTAAATATGACCACATTAATAATGTTTCTCTCGTTCCTGTCATTATAATAACTTTCACTATTAGCACTTACATAAATCTTTGTATTGAAATCAAAGAAAACTTTCGCCCGAGAAATCTTTAAGTGTTTTCTTTTCGATTCGCGTAAACTGTGAAATATGTGCCCTTACTAATAGAAAGCCAGTGGAGGAATTTTTGAACCTAATTTTACTTCTATTTATTTATCCGTTCTTGATAATACAATGTGATAAAAAAGCGTTTCTTTTCACATCTTACCTAATTCGGCTTTCTGACAACTGTCTTAAATTGTACAACACAGATACGTTAGCTTACCTGAAGTGCGATTCAGTCATATTCAGATACATTTTGTTCAATAAATTTTTATTTTTCCATTATTTCGACACGCTATGCAAACGACGCCAAACGCCAGGTTTTATGGAACTTCTGAAGGGAATATTCACAGGGCTTTGGATTGAATAACTTGATATCTATGTGGTAGTTGGTTAGAAACGACTTAACTGATCCGAATTTTTTTATCTCCCAGGCAATGAGACACACTTGTTTTGTGAGGGGTGGTGACACCACCTTGTTGCCTCGGCTGAATTAGATGAGGAGGAGTTAGAACTCTGGACTCAGTGGTTGAAAGTTAAGTGCTTAAGCCAAAGAGCCACATATCCGTATTCATTTCCGAACTCTTTCATCAGCTCAAATCAAACTTCAAATCAAAAGTACTGTGGAATTCTTTTCTTTATCATAATGTGGATAAATTAACGTTCTTTTAACATGAAAATATATGTCGTTGCTTGACTAGAGCACATTTCAAAATAATCTTAGGTGGAAAGTTTTTTGGATTAATGAACACAGTAAACAACTTCGCGATCCTCCAATTTCAGTAAACTTTTTTAAAAACAAATATAAATATGTATGTTAATACTGAGATATTGAGACATTTGATATGGTAAATCGTGTTTCATTACATATTAAAGTGATTCTTATCACTCAGGTAGAATAATTCAGAACTTCAAAACCCCAAATTAATTACAAACATGAAATTAAGCTTGAGATAACAGTATTCAAGTGTCTTAAAGTTGTTATCAGTAAGCACACATGATTACACTTATAATTCTTTAAATCATTCCCCTCTATGCACTTGTGATTCTGTTATACCAGACGCTTTTAACTCTGGCTGATATCTTGTTGTGGTTAAATTAGTGAAGGTATTGATTGCTTAGTGTCTTTCATTCAGGATAATGTAATTTATTCCTTTTCCTGTATCAAAAGTTAAACAAACTACAATTGTTTCGTTACCTGATAAATAGTACCACATAATAAAAGCATTAAAAGCACTGCAGCAGATTAATTACAACTGACGGAACATATTACCCTTAAGGCAGCTGCACCAATAACTACTGTCAATCTGCTTTTAAAAATCTGACATAGGAAGAAGCGTCATAGAATTATTGTAGCACATGGAGAATCAGTAGAATATGAACCACTGTGATAGATGAATTCACATGTATAACGTGGAGGCAACTGGTTATAATAACCAGTTGTTTTCTAAATTGAGAAGACTAGTTAAACAGTAATTCTGAACTGTTGTGAAGGCAGCTAGTAAAAGAAAGTGTTAAATATGTATCAGAGGGGAATTCACGTTTTATCACCTGAAAATTCATCCTGTTGAAAAAGTCAAAGTGACATGTGATGATAAAACACGAATATTCGCAAAACAGTAATCTGAGTTAACTTGTTTCGATAAAAGAAAATAGAATTACGATTTCTACTGAAATTTAACTACAGTCATTATAAATTCACAGGATATCTGTCTGTAAAGTAGGAAAATGTATGCATTTCAGATAATCCATATTTTTAACAAATAAAAAGGCCTACTATTATGAAAGAATCTTGTAAGTGAAACT